ACATCTCGTACAAACTGACAGCCTAAAATCCTGTTCCAGAATTCACAGAATTTGGATTTCTGTCACTTCTGATCTTCTAGGATGCAGATTACTTGGCTTCTACATTGCATTCTCAGGACCTTGGTCATGTACCTGCTGAATAAGTACCCTGCTTCCCCTGCCCTCCCTCCACTCCCACCCCAAACTTTTGCACTCTCCCAAACTTGATAATTCATAATACTAAATTATTGTAAACATGTATGTGATATTTTGTAGAGATAAGTTGCAACCGAATTACTGGAGGGGATTTCTTTCAGGCCTAGACACATGTACCCACGTTTGGAAGAAGTTTGGGCTGACAGGATGGAAGGGAGGGGAGAGTAGAAGTGTGTGATTAAGGTGTCTTTTTAACCTTACTGTCTCTCTTAGGACCATACTGCCTCTCTTCAGGGTCATTCAGAACCTTGCTCCTGTAAGTTTGAGGTATAGATATTAACATCCTTTGAAATGAAGTCACCCCAGGCACATTTGTTGCATCATTACTTTCTCAATTTCAAGGCGCATTGGGGAGGCAGAAACATTCCTTAAAGGGATACCATCCACAAAAGCAGGTTAAATGTAGCTAATGTATCCTTAAATTAGCTTTTCTCAGAGTACAGGAGAATACTTATATATAGTTTGTTTTGGAGCACAGGTAATGTGAAAACTACCAGTGCAACCAAAGAGACTTATCTTCTCAGAAGTACAGTTGTTTCTTGATTATTTACACCAGTGGAAGGGAATATTGGTACAAAAAGCAGAAAACTATGGCTAATTTATCTACTCGGGTTCTCAAAGCCTCGAGCCAATGTAGTACTAGGCAGCTATGACAAGCAGATTCCCAGACCTCGTGTAAATAAATCACAGCATAGAAAACCCGGGGCTGAGAGTCTACTACTAGACTTGGAAGCAGAAATATTGGGTATTCAATAGTCTTACCATAAAAGGAGCATTCTGTTGTAAGTTTTGGTGTTACTCTTAAAATCTGAGGCCTTTAATTTTATTTTTTTTAACATCATATAATTGTGTAACCACTGTGCTCTACACCTGAAACTAACATAAAATAATATTAAATGTCAATTGTAATGGGGGGGGAAGGACCACCCAAATTAAATTATCCAAATTAAAGTATCTACCCAGTCACTGTCAGAAAAAAATAAAAATAAGATGAATGTACATGTAACCCCTCACCCCCCAAAAAAACAACTCTTGGAATTTACCCTGATTATAGTTCCCAAGGGTAAAAATTAGCCTTGGCCTAGTGGCTCATTTGATTGGAGCGTCATCCTGTGCACCAAAAGGTTGTGGGTTCGGTTCCCCATCAGGGTACATATTTAGGTTGTGGGTTCAGTCCCCAATCAGGGCACATATGGGAAGCAACCAGTTGGTGTACATTATTGTACATCGTTGTTTCTCTCTCTCCCCCCCCCCTTTTTCCAAAGTTAATAAATATATTCTCAGGTGAGGATTTAAAAAAATAATTAAAAAAATTAAAACTCTATGGCATTGGATACATTTGAATTCAAGTGCTGCATATTAATTATGTGACCTTGAATACATTATGTAACCTCAAAAAATAAATAACGGAATTTTTCCTATCTATATTTTTTGGCATTCTAAAGATATAAAGAAATCCTTAACTTGATTGCATCACAGTAGGTCCTCCTTCAGGGTTATTGGAAGAGAATTTAAAATGTAATGTTAGTGACATCATTTCCACTTTATCACTTTACCATCATCCTTAAGATCCACGTGGCATCTTCATCTCCTCAGTAGGGCCTAAATTAGTCTCTGTTATAATGTTTCTCATAATCAAGTTTTCTCTTATTTACCTCTAATTGTAACCTTAGAAATGAGGATAAGAGACTGAAGCACATTGCTCTACTTGGATAGGCTCTTTGGAAGGAAGGCAAATAGTTGAACCACATTTAGTCAATTTTATAGTAATATAGTCAAAACTCCTACTATAAATAATTTTCATAGCTAAATTAGGGAATGTTTCAGGGCTACATCACCTGAGGGAACTTGTCAGTTGGCCTTAACGGTCTTTTCATTTGTGCCACTGAAACAAATATTAAAGGTTTCAAGAAATTTTATATTGAAAAGGAACATGCCAAGCAGAGGAAGTGCTTGAAATGACAAGGAAAGAGACATTATTGTCTGTCTGTGCCTGAGATTTGAAAGAGCTGACAGCTTTTGGTGATTACATTCAATTTGGTTGACTTAATAAGAATTTTTTTTTTTATTTCTAAAATCTTATTAACTGGCTGAAATTCCCATCTTGTCCCTTAATGGATCATCTGTGGACATATCTTCTTCAAACCTTTGGAACACTCACCTCAAGAGGCTAGGGGAACTCCATGTATTGTCTTACAGTTTTGCCCCTGGAAATAAACATAGCCAATTCTCGAAGGCCTTTAAAATTTGTTTTCATGCTTTAAATTGTCATAGTTGGCTTTCACTTCTAATCTTTGTCATAATCAGTGACATATCAGCACCTCTTTGCCCGTCTTCTCAGATGTTGTTTCTCATATAGGACTGTTTAGTTATAGATTGAGACTGAGAAGGAGTCAGGAATATGTATTGACAAATTGGTTGTTACAGAATAGTCATGGGGATGTAAAGAACGGCATAGGGAATATAGAAGCCAAAGGATATATTATAAATGCACGACCCATGGGCATGGACAGCGGTGTGGGGATTGCCTGAGGCGGGGCTTGGGTGTAGGGGAGCGAAGGAGGAAAATTGGAACAAATGACTGTAATAGCATAAACAATAAAATATAATTTAAATGTACAAAAGAATATGTATTGATGATGAGGATGGTGATTATGGCTAAGAATAAGATACCTTTGCTTCTCCTGGAGCTCATTCTGAGTAAGTACCGTTGACCCTTAAATAATGCAGGGGTCAGGAGTGCCCACCCCCTGCACAGTTGAAAATGTGTATAACTTTTGACTCCCCCAAAACTATTAATGGCCTACTGTTGACCAGAACACTCAAAATAACAATCAGTTAACACATATTTTGTATGTTATATGTATTATATATTATATTCTTAAAATAAATAAGCTAGAGAAAAGAAAACGTTATTTAAAGTCCATTTGCAGTACTGTACATATTTATTGAAAAAAACTTATGTATAAGTAGACCCATACAGTTGAAACCCATGTCAGTTAAGGGTCAGCAGTATCTCAAGTAATCGTTTAGCAAAATAGGACAAGTCAGGTACAACTTCCTTTTCAGTGTTAACAGTAAAGGCAGGCATACTTCTGTGTGCGTGTGTACCTTTTTTTTTTTTTTTTTTTTTTGGATAAATACATTCAAGAGACAGTGATGAGCAAAAGTCTGTTTTGGAAAAAAATATAGATTATTGCAGTCTTAAGGGAAAGGGCCTTCTCTTCAGAGACACTGTTGCCTCATGATTTACAATAATCAATTTGATAATTGTTGTTGACTTACTGGCTCAGTTCATGAATAATGTCCCAGATTTAGACTAGTATGGCAAAAGGATTTTAATCAGGTAGTCCTTTCTTTCCCATGGAGCATTTGTCTTGCTTGACTGTTCTAGACTTCAGCCAACTGCCAGAAAGGTCTTTTCCCACTGTATATGTATAGTGGAATGTGTGTTGCTTAAGCATTCATTGAGGGGAGTTTCCAATCCACTAAAATCCATTGTGCCATTACCTTTTACCAATGTGCCTTTAGAGACACCGAGAATGGAGGACTTGTCTTCCCCTTTTCTCCAAGAATCTGTTTGAAGAGAAGGAAGAATCTCATGATTATAAATATTGTTTTCAACCCAGCCTACCTGACCACCTCTGAGTTAGCAGAGCCCCTTTGGCTGCTATGAAGACTCTCAGAAACTTGATGGCTTGTTAAATGTTCATTATCTAATTAATGTGCATTAATTTAGATACAATAGCTCTGTTGCTAGGAGCAGAGTTAGCAAGGAAGAGCATGGCGGAGTGCAGACCACTTATGCCCTAGGCGTCAGGAGTGTGCAGAGCTTGCTGTCCTCAGAGGGAATGTACAGCTCTGCTGTCTGGGCTGAAAACCTCAGAAATTCAGACATCCAGTGACTGTTTCCCCAGCATATGCGATGTGATATTTTAATGTTTACTGTATCATCTGTTTAAGTAGATTGAGAGACTGAAAGGCTTGGAAGGCTCTTAGCTCCTCTGTAGCTTAGAGCTCTGGGGTTTGAAATCCATGATTTGGTACCTTTGGGGGTAGAATGCATGTACTTTGTGTGGATGCTTGAAAAAAGTTTTAAAAGTGCTATGTGGTTTCATGTTTTTATGGTTTCTGTAATTATCTGTGCTGACATGGCGTGGGATTGGTCAGATCTCCCAACTGGGAGCAGGAGCAGTGCGCCCAGGTCCTGGCTCATCCCCGAAAGCGCATGGAGCAGTGCTGGCTGTACTGGTGCCCAAATAAGGTTGCGTTCGCCTCCTCATTAAGAACAGTGAGCTCTGGGTCTGCGTGACCTATTGCAGATGGGCGATGGACCTCTTTGGGTTTCCTGGGAAAGGACTTTAGGGGATGTATCACATAGCCTAAGAGTCATTCTTTTCTTAATGAAAATTAAAGGTTAAATTAACCTTCATAAAAGGTTAGTATTGATCTTCCCTCAGTTTCCCATGGCAGGAAGAGGAGCTCTTTTTCCTGCCCCAGAGAAGGGGTGAAATTCTCATTTCAAAGCACCTTCCTAATTTGTATATCCACTGATTGCTTAGTAACTGAGTAGAGGGAAACAGAGTCAGTGAGAATGTTCTGGAAACTTTTGATTAATTGTATTTCTTCTGCGGAAGTCACACGGATACCTGGTCTATGTCATGGTTTTAGAAATGTCTAATTTTATGGGGTTATTTTCTTAGCTTCCTGTGGTCTGCTAGCATGTGTCCTAAACCAGAGACAAAGAAACATTTGCCTGAATCCCATTACTCTTCTAAGGCTTCTCTTCTTCTTTTCTCTGTCAGGATACCCAAAAAGCAAAGCAGTTCCTGCCCTTTCTCCAGCGGGCCGGTCGTTCAGAAGCTGTGGTGGAATATGTCTTCAGTGGTTCTCGTCTCAAGCTGTATTTGCCAAAGGAAACTTGCCTTATCACCTTCCTGCTCGCAGGTAAGTCTTACCTGTTACATATTACTCTGAAAATTCTTCCTGGAGCTCAGAAGTCTTCCCTGGAGGTCACATGCCCTTCTTTCTTTGTGTCTTAGATAGGACCTGGAGTCCACCTGGGTGCTTTCATTTCTAACTGAGACTTGAACACAAAATTTCTAGTTTCGTCCCAGTGTCACCGCAGACCCAGTCCTGGGCCCTCTCCCTGTGCCTCATTTCCACCAACCACGGACAGTACATATTCTCATGCAGCCTGAGTGAAGGGAATTGCAGACATAGAAAAATATTAATGATAGAATACTCACAGTTGGCATTTCCTATTTGGAATAGACCACCCCTGCCGCGTTAGTCATGGGCAGACCGCGGAGGACCTAAGACTCTCTGCCCTTGGAGCTCCGCAAGCAGTGCCTATTGTCTCTCTTTTATTCTTTTCAAATGTCATCAGGATCCACATCCTTTATGAAACCCCAGAGATGACATTGCCTTCACAGGCTCCGGCATCTGTCATAGTTGTCTGTTGCACTGAAGTTGGAATACTAAGGCAAGCCTTTCTTTCCTTGCTGACTGAATGTACATCTTCCTTATCCGACTCTTTCTAGTAGTTGAATATTTCACAACCAGCAAGACTGTGTATGAACTGTGCTCTTTGAGCAGTTTATATTTATGTACTCAAGGTATAAATTCCTTCATTTCTTCCCTACTGGCAAATAATAACTTTAGCACCAGTCAGGACTTTAAAGAAACTGTGGTCTCTGAAAGAAAGCGTCATTTTACTTCAACAGCTTGTATCCCACCCCATACCCACAAAAACATTCTCTCCCTCACAAGGGACACACTATTGTGTTCTCCCAATGCGCACTGCGTTTCGGAGGCTGTCCTGTTGCCTCAGCACTGCTCTTGGATTCTTGAATAAAATTTGCCATGGGAGAGAAGAGCCGGGCCCCATGTTTGTTGTCCCTGCCAAATTGCCTCAGCCTTCTTCTCCTAGAAGGCAGTGATAGTTTCTTCTCTGGCTAAGGGTCTCCCTCTGGCTCCAGCTAAGTGGATTTGTTATGTGAGATAAATCACTCACTGAACACATGACCGTGAAGCTCAGTGCTGCTGCTGGGCCGTCACTTCTGGTTGAGACTCTCCCGCACATGCTTAAGAGGTTAGTGATCACTCCGCAGCTCTGCGGCTTTCTGAAGGGACTAATTGAAGCCTGACACGAGCTCAGGGGCAGCTGTAAAAAAGATAGGCTGAGACAAATCACACCTCACTGGAGGGCTGCTGGGCTTGTGTTTTTGCGAATGTGAGTTGTACAGTGGAGCCGTGTAGAAATGTGTGAGAGCCCTTCCAAGCAGCCATTTGTACTCTTAAGATTACTGTAGCCCTGCCCTGACCGGTATGGCTCAGTTGGTTGGAGTGTCACCCTGCAAAGCAAAAGTCACCTGTTCGATTCCTGGTCAGGGTTCATGCCTGGGTGGTGGGCCTGGGCCTGGTTGGGGTGCATGTGAGAGGCAGCCAGTTGATGTTTCTCTCACACATCAGTGTTTCTCTCCCTCTCCTGCTCCATCCTTTCCCCCCTCTCTAAAAAATAAATAACAACCTTTTTAGAAAAAGATTTCTATCATGGAGAAGGTCCATATCAGTAATTTCTTGTTGCAGAGTTTGAGGCATACAGGGTCTGGCACAAATAACACCCCTTTTTTATTACAAAATCGTAAGCATATAATTCTATAACAACAATATCACTCTGGAACACACCGTATGACATTTTAGGTGAAATGTTCAAATTGCTGTCAACCTCATGCGAGACATTCACGTACCCTATCAGCCACACTCAAGCAAGCCTTACTTCTGCTGGACCCTGTATATTCATCTCACCCTTTGCTCAATACTTGCAAAACAAAAGCATCTTTTTGGCATTGTAGAGCTTCGTCCAGAGGTGTGAAAGAGAAGCAGTATTCTTTTCTCTTAGAAACTTGGCCACAGATCTGTAGGGGAAAGAAAACGCTGTAGTTCTGGTTTATAAACTCAAAACTACCTGAATGGAGCCTGCTTGGAGCTTTGGACCTATCTGGGCGGGAGTTTTCCTACAGAAGCCTTGGTTGTACCCTACTTAAACACAAGCAGTCTGATCACTCAGCTCAGCATCAGCCAGTTCCTCTGTGTACTTGGCATTATTCTAAGCATAGCAATTCAAAAGGCATTGCCTGAGTTCACTTACATTCTGAAAGATAGATTACAGAAGCAAATACATGATAAAAATATAAGCTTTTACATTTGTCTCCTGCTATACTATATGTGGTTATATTATACATCTTCTGGTTTCTTTAGAAACCTGGCAAGAATATAGGACATTGAAAAGTCATAAGAGAAAGCAGACCTCGGTTTGAATCATGGCTCTACTCTGTACAGGCAGAGACTTAGAGAGACTATTTACCCACTTCAAGCCTCAGTTTATGTATCAGTTAACTGAAAAAAGTATCATGTCTGTCAGGATTGTTGTCTGAGAGTATAATGAGATGAGAAAAAGGGTTCAGAACAAGCCTACCATAAAAGTAGATACTCAGTACATACATCTCCTTCCTCATCCCCTCACAAAGATTTTGTGTCATAACTAGAGCTGTCCTTAACTCTTGTATGAAATGACCATAGGTCAAAGTCTCCATGGTAGAGCCATAGTTATCTTCCGATAGAAACAAATCATGAAAAGGAGCTGTTCTAGTCTCCTCCTGACAGACAAGGTCACTGAAAGGAAGGCTACTGGCTTTTCCCTTTGAGACTCGGGAGCGAGGAACTCCACGCCATCTTCTTGAGATTGGGTCCTTGATCTCAAGAAGCTCTAGGGGAAAACAGACATGTAAAGAAACTGCAGTGTCGGGCCCTAGGTGAGATGATAAAATCATTTACAAGGCACAGAAGTAGCACAAAGAGGGCAATGATTGGTTATTTAGCTGGGGATCGGGGAATGTCTTGCCGAGGATTTGATAATCTGAGCTGTGTATTGAAGGACAAATAGGAATTTGCAGTGTTGGGGGAGGGGAGATGAGGAGGTAGAGAGGAAAGGTCTGGGTAGAGATAATAACATGTACAAAGCTGTAGAGGTATGATATGTCCTGATGTGTCCAGGCAACCATGAACCCTTCGGTATCAGTAGAGTATAAACAGTGAGGAGAGGGGTGTTAGTATGAAGCTGGAAATGCAGACAGCAGCTAGTCTTCTTGGGTTAAGAAAGTTCATTCTGGTGGATACATAGGGCTAAATGGAGCTGTGGTTTGGGAGAGCAGTTAAGAGGCAAGCAGGATAGAGGCCTGAACTCTGACAGTGGGGAAGGGAAGAATTGAAAAAATACTTAAGAGGAAGACTTGAGAACTTGGGGAATGTATGGAATTTTTTTTTTTTTTTTTTTTTTTGGTCGAGGATGGGAGATGATGTTGAAGTGTAGGAGAGAACGTAAAGCATCCAAGGTTGAGTGATTGGGCAGAGTGTGATGTCCAAAGGTAACACGCAAATAAGAGTAGGTTTTAGGAGAGATCATTGGTTTGGTTTTCGCAGTGTAATATTTGAGGTATCCATGGAGACATCCAGGTCAGCAGAGGGGCCTAGGCATATTATTCATGTGGAGGAGCCATCACCGTACAGGGCATAGTTAAAACAGTTTCAGCGCCTAGAGGACCAGCCAGGTTAGGAGGAGTAAGCACCTTGGAAAATTCCAGCCTGTGAGGAGTAGGCCAGGCATTCATGGGTGGAAAAAACGTGGTCAGAGGATTAAGGAGAACCCAGTCTTCTGGAAGCTGAGGGAGTTCCAAGGAGTTAGCAATGTGAGATTTTACCTAAAAGATCAAGTAGATAAAAACGTGAAGTTATTTTCTTATTTATCAATTAGTAAGTCACAGATGACCTTTGTCAGTGCAATCTCATCAGAGTTGATTCAGCCAGAGGCAGATTACAGGTAATTGAGGGATAAATATGGGGAATAAGGGACAGAATTAAAAATAGACTGTTCTTCACAAAAATCTAACAGAGAATGGGAAAGGAGTGCTGAAAAGGAAAGCTAAAGGGTCAGGGTGACATTCTGAGGATGTCAGCATTTGGGTACTTTTGTACTGTAATTCTTATTCAAGTCTGGAACAGAATGTATAGCATGTATAGTTGGGAAAGCTATTCAGTATACCTATTGTTTTCATAATACCAATCACAGAATGTAAAAACTCAACAAGTCTTCTTGGCAAATGAGAATATAAAAAAAAATGGAGTGAGAAAATAACATAAGGAACATGAGAGTACTGCTGGTCTGATGCTGAGGAGAAGGAGCTAAGAAAGGATGTAGAGAAATGGTTAATGGAGTACTGACCTGGAAGGGATGGAATGAATAAGATGGATGGAGAACATGGGTGGAGGGAGTGTCCTCAGAGAGAGAAGGGCTCTCTGGTCCTCTGAGACCATCTCCAAAGCTGAAAGTGAGTGGAGACACAAGCACAGTGTTCACGTTGTGGAGCTGTTCGCCTGGACAGTGACCCTCACAGCACAGCTTTGCCGCTCTCTGCGGGAGGCGCTCCACACCATGTAAGAATGGCTGGGAGTGATGCCTCTGCAGCCAGGAGAGAGTTGGGATGGTGATTCTCAAGGGGAAAGTCAAGATCATTGTTTAGCAGTCCCGTATGTGCTGCTCTCATTAATCCCAGCCTTTTGGAGAGCCCTCTGGACTTCAAGGTGGGGTGGACACTTTCCATTTTTATGTAGCCTTTTTTGGGCAGACGGCCCCACAGCTTGATAGGGAGTGGCATTTGGCCCAAGCCAGCTGGCCTCTCTGTCATGGTTCCTGCACCCCTGTACGTGGAATGATTGTTTGGTCAGATGGGATAGCAGGTGGGGCTGGGCAACGTCAGCTGTAGCTAACAGGTTAGTGCCTCCTGAAGGCTCTTGCCCTTTAGTCCTTTGAGCACCTGGCTTAGGTTTGGTTGGTGAGCAGGTGACCTTACCCTGTCAGAACTGAGACTGTTCAAGGTCCCTCCGCC